CATATTTTTTAATATTGTTGTTCGATAAACAATACTGAAACCAAATCGGACTATGATTGATCATTAACTAAAAATATTGCGTTTGCAGAATAAATAGAAGTTAGATGAAACATCAAAACCACTAATACGCATGTGCAATGCTTGTCACAGTACGTACCAAAACACATGATGCACATTTCATTGTTTCTTCGAACGAATACTCAGATATATGCAAACAGCGTTTTCCGTTTGTGATAAATCATAATCATAATAAAACATTAAACAACAATACTAAAAATTACATGTTCTCATCATCCATATTGCATCTTTGAGGGAGAGAGCCACCTCTTAGGTACTTTTTGATTTGATTTTGGGGAGATTTCATGAATGTTGTTATGCTTTTTAGGACATTATCTACATAGCTGCTTGTAATTCACATAATTTTGAAATGTTTAAATAGTCACCAGTTATTTCTCAAAAACAAAGACAATGAATGTAAAACAAACATAAAAATGTAATTTATACAAAACACCAAAATATCGAATTATCATATGACGGATTGTTGCATCAAATCATACACTTTTTATAGTAAAATAAATCAAACCAACTAGCTACAAATTTGATTAATTGAGATATTTGTGTTGTTATATTCGTATATAGTTGCCCCAATCGCTTATACAAATTTATCAGGATTTCGGAAACTTAGATGACAGCCCCTCCCCAACCAAGGGTAAGTAGGTATTATGCGTGACAATAAATTTAGATCCATCCTTCGAACGAATTGCAGTATGCTATGAACGCTTCCCTAAGTTACAGTAAAGTTAATAGCACAATATTAAATTAGACCAACTTTATGAATAAATAAAAAATGAATAAATAACTAGATATATTGTTTTGAAAAGAAATAGAAAATACATACACCACCACTTGCTCCATGAACGAAAACGGTTTCCCCAGCTTTGCAGTTGGCGCTGGAATACAGGAATTACATGTCAAATCGAGTTCTGACAAATACATTGAGAAATAATCGTCTGTCAGTGAACTAATCAGCAAAACAGATAACCAATGACACCGCGGAGACAAATGATCTTTATTTGCAGATCACACGAGTGAAAGTTGGACTAAGACTGTGGGATAGAATGGAGCTGAGATTGTGTTGGTTTGTACTCACATGTGGAACAAAGATCTAATGGCAGTGAAATATACACAACCAATACCGGCACCTTCTTGGAAAGTCAGCTGTGATGGGAGGTGGAACACGTTGCGATCCTCGCTCACTTGGTAATCTGCATATGCACCACATTCAGATAGAGTTGAGTAAACGCGGTCACCAATCTGCAATTCACAATATTCAAATTCATTCCTTAATATACAGGCTGTTAGTGGGCAATATATTTTGATTCATCAAGACCACATCGTCCGAATCGGACGGTTTCGCTAAAGCCGGCCATTCATAACCAACCCACGAACCCGTGCGTGAACGTGTTAGAAAAAGCTGTATTTCACTGCAGTTAAATTGAGTCATTTGATTGGGCGCGCCAAGGAGCTGGCGCCACCATCAGCGTTGCTGTATCATTACACGTACGTCTACGTCCTCACATATTAAAACATGGCGGCGAGTAGCTTTGCGCTGATTCGCCGACATTCAAGAACAAAAGGTCTATATTCGTTGACAAGTTTCCAAAATGTGTTATTCCAACGTTGAAAATTGCTTGTGGGCAAGTGAATGAAGACGATTGAATGTCTAAAAATTTGTGCAAACCGTCTTTTAGTAAACAGACAAAACTGTCAAAACTGATAACATATCGACTTGCCCGATCCGGTATCGTTGCAACAAGTAATTTTACCAAATAATGTGTCGTTTCTATCACGAGTTCTTAATGCGAATGAGCCCAATTGAATATTATAAGCGTTTGAGGGCGTGCGACATACAGTAAATCGTGGTGAAATCTGCCAAGGGTTAATGTTGAAGCTTTGGCTGAATAAATGGTCTTTGGCTGGCGGAGATGCCAAGACCAAAAGATACGACAGTTTTAAGTTTGTGTACAACAAACAAATTGTTAGCAGGCTGTTCGTAGATAATGATGCCAATCATCTGTAAATTCCCATTGATTATAAA